GGAGGTAGCAATGCCCACGTCATTATCCAGGAGTATCAGGGATTACCGGTTCAAACTTATGCGTATCAGATGCCTGCTGTCATTGTCCTTTCTGCGAAACAGGCCAGCCGTATTTTAATCCAGGTAAGCAATTTAAAAAGCTTTTTGGAAGCACATCCGCAAACGAATTTATATGACCTGGCTTATACGCTTCAAATAGGTAGAGAAGCCATGGATGAACGCCTGGCATTTGTTGCAGACAGTATCGAAGATTTGCTGGTACAGTTAACGTCTTACCATCAAGGCGAAAAAGCAAATTCTATTGCTGGCAATATCCGTAAAGAAGAGGCTGCTGTTGAAGGAAATGATGCCATAACAATTGCCCGGGCATGGGTGAAAGGAATGGCTGCGGATTGGACACTGCTGTATCAGCAGGGCTTGCCTTCGCGGATCAGTTTGCCGGCCTATCCATTTGTGAAAGACCGGTACTGGATCCCTGTGGTGAACAAGGAAATTATCCAGCAAGGAACAGCTAATTTACATCCGCTGCTACATAGCAATGAGTCTGATTTAAGTGCGCAAAAGTTTACCAGTACTTATACAGGTAAAGAAGATTTCTTAATTAAATGCCACATTCCTAATTATAAAGAATTGCCAGCTACAGCATTACTTGAGCTGGCAAGAGAGGCGGGGGAGCGGAGTTTGCGTCAAAATATTACACAAATCAAAGATGTCAGCTGGATGGATCCTATCCGGGTAAATGGTTCTCCGGCTAAAGTACAGATCAATCTGTTTGCCGCGGGCAATGATATTGGATATGAAATTTACACGCATCATCAGGAGCAAAAAGAACAGCTTAGCGGACAAGGTTTATTGAATGCAACGGCACAGCAAGTACCGGGTAAAAAAGATATTCAGGCTTTACTGAAGCGTTATCAGCATGAGATCACAAAGGATGAGTTTTATCAATTTTTCGCTGATGCAGGTAAAAATCATGCGCTTGATTTTCAAGGAGTAGTTAAGTTGTATGCTAATGAAACTCAGGCGCTGTCAAAAATTGAATTGCCGGCTACTGATGGTTTTATTTTATCTCCGGGATTACTGGATAGTGCTGTACAAACCTGCACTGGCTGGTTGCTGAGTAAAGGTGAAAAACAATTATATCAGCTTTCCGGAGCCGCCGAAGTCACGATTTTTGGAACATTACCTGCTGTAATCTGGTGTCATGCAGTTTTTGAAAGACAGGCAAAGGGCACTGTCTGTTGTCAGCTTGAGGTATTGAATGCACAAGGAGATGTTTTACTTCATTTCAAAGACCTGATTTTAGTTCCTGAGGAGCATTCAGAAAATGACTTAAAAATCAAGTCAACCCTGGCTTACAAACCAGTATGGAACCGGATTATAGCCTCAACTGCTGCTGCAGCTCCAATCCTGGGGAAACAAGTTTTAGTGGTTGGAAATTCTAATCCGGTATTTGCACAGGGGCTTAGTGAGTGGTTAACTATGCAGGGAGCAGAAGTTTCAATCGTTGAAAAACTGGAAGCTATTCCTGATGCACTTGCAGGTGTATATCTGTTGCAAGGGCTGCCGGGAATCACTGAGGGATCGCAGCAGGAATTAGCGGTGTTCAGGAGTGTGAAAGAATTGTTAAATACGGCAGACAAAGATTTAAAGCTGACTGTATTTACTTGTCAGACGCAACAAGTATTTGCTGATGATTTAGTAACTGCTGCTGGCAGCGGGATTACCGGATTGATTGGTGCGCTTGTGAAAGAACAGCCACAATGGTCAATCAACAGGATTGATTTGCAGCTATCAGCTGATCTTCAGCTACCAGTTGAACCTGATTGGTCAACGCTGCTGGCTATCAGTGTAAATCAGGAAAATGCAGTGACTTGTTTAAGAAATGGGCATTATTACAGACAACAGTTATATCCTTTAGTATTACCAGAGATAAAATCTTCAAAATTCAGAAAATCTGGTGTTTATGTTTTAATTGGTGGTGCTGGTGGATTAGGGAGAGTGACCACGGAGTACCTGGTAAAGCATTATCAGGCTCAGGTGATCTGGTTGGGAAGAAGGCCTGCGGATGCGGCTATTCAAACTGCTCAAGAAGAAATTTCGTTATCAGGTGTGAAGCCCGGATACTATCAATGTGATGCTGCTAACCTCACTGACGTTGAAAAAACATATCAGTCAATCAAGAAAATTTACCCGGAAATACACGGTCTTTTTCACTCCGCAATTGTCCTTCAGGATAGGTTGCTGAAGAACATGACGGAACCAGATTTCAGCAAGGCTTTTATTCCTAAGTCTGTAGCAAGTCAGAACCTGGTTCATGTTTTCGGGCAGGAGTCAATGGATTTCTTTTGTTTTTACTCTTCCGTGCAGGCATTGGTTCATGCGCCGGGTCAGGGAAACTATGCCGCAGGTTGTACTTATAAAGACAGTTATGCTTTAAGCGTAAATAGCCAGCATATACCTGTAAAAATTATCAACTGGGGATTCTGGGGAGAAGTAGGTGTAGTTGCAGCCGATGGCTATAAAGACAAAATGAAACAAGCTGGTGTGGAGAGCATCAATGCTGAAGAAGGTATGCAATTCTTAGAAATGGTCATCGGGAGTGAACAGCAGCAGGTTGTTGCGATCAAACTCTCTGCTGCGGCAGCGGCAGCAATACCGGTTATACGGCAGGATCTGGAAATTTCAGCTGTAAAAGCATTTTCGGTGCTGCAATTGGCAAAACCTGATGAACTGGTATATCCTAAAACAGACCAGCTGGATTTGGTTTTTAAAACATTGTGTTGTAAAGGGCTGTTGCAGGTTTTGCTGGAGCTAGGTTTAGTACAGCAGCAACAAGCGGGACAAACTTCAAGTAGTTTGAGATCAGCATTAGCTGTGCAGGATAAGTATGAACAGTTATTCTTTGTGCTGATCGGATTGCTTCAGGAGCAAAATTACCTCAAGGTAAAAGAATCACAAATCACTATTGACCCTGTGGTTCAATCGGAAATCAGCACTTTCAGTTTTGCACAGCAAATGAATGCACTGGTTGAACAGGAACAGGAATACCGTCCGCATGGTACTTTATTGCAAATCTGTTTAGCCGCTTTCCAGGAGATTTTAACTGGAAAACAGCAAGCTACTACTGTCATGTTCCCTGGAGGAAGCATGGAATATGTGAGCGGTATTTATAAAGGAAATGCGCAATCCGATTATTTCAATAATTTATTGGCCAGCATTGTCAAAAATAGCGTTGCCCAGAGCATTCCTTACTTACAGCCCGGTGAAAAAATCAGGATACTGGAAGTGGGTGCCGGAACAGGCGGCACAAGCCAGGTAGTTTTCAAAGCGCTGGAACCTTATAAAGAACATCTTTTCTATCTGTATACTGATTTGTCGCGTAGTTTCCTGAGCCATGCAGAACAGCATTTCAAAGGCATCGCTCCGTATTTAGAAACGGCGATCCTTAATATCGAACAAGCTCCTGACCAGCAGCAGGTTGTTCTTGGGAGCTATGATATTGTGATCGGGGCCAATGTGGTACATGCCACTAAAAACATGGCCGTAACGCTAAACAATATTAAGGTTTTACTGAAGAAAAATGGCCTGTTTATCCTGAATGAAATTGCACGCACTGAACTGTTTACCACACTTACTTTTGGTTTACTGGACGGCTGGTGGCTTTATGAAGATGCAGGGATCAGGTTAAAAGGCAGCCCCGGTTTATCAGCAGCAGGCTGGAAGACAGTCTTAACAGAAACTGGCTACTCACAGGTGCGCAGTTATCCGGGAATAGCTGATCTTTCTCAACAGCTTGTATGTGCGCTCAGTGACGGCATGGTTCAGCACAACAGAGTTCAGGATGGCACGGTTCAACACAGCAGGGTTCAGCATGGCATGGTTCAGCACGGCTTAAAAGTGAATGGCACCGCTCCGCAGCTTAACCAGCAACCGCCTATGCTGCAAAACAGCGTAATTAAACAAACTGCATCAATAATTAAAGACAATACACCAGTAATTAAGCAAACTGTACCGGCAATGAAAAAAGCAATGGATAATAAAACGCTGGTGAACAAAGTGGTAAACATCGCTGCGGCGCTGATTAAACTGCCACCGGCAGAATTTGATATAGAGAGCCAGTTTATGGATTACGGATTCGATTCTATCCTGAGCATGGAACTGGTTAAAAACATTAATGAAACATTAAATGTAGCATTGAAACCTACTGATATCTTCAGTTATAACACTATACAACAGCTTGCAGATTTTCTGCAGCTGAATTTCGGGGAACTCCTGCAAACAGAACTTGCCGGGGAAATTGCAGAACCAGTAATTGCAGCTTCTTTCGTCGCATTACCACAGGCTGTATTACCTATGAAAACCCGTTTTTCAGGTTCTGTGGTGAATGCTGAACCTGTTTACATCGCTGAAAACGATATCGCAGTAATCGGCATGAGCGGTCAGTTTGGTGCTGCAAACGATCTGGATACTTTTTGGGAGGTGTTAAAGAATGGACAAAGCCTGGTGGGTGACTTGCCAGAGAGCAGGTGGCAGGGGTATGTGAACAAGGAAAGTTTTAAATGGACTGGAAGCTTCCTGCTGGATATCGATAAGTTCGATCCGGTATTCTTTAAGATTTCTGGAAATGAGGCTGGGTTGATGGACCCTCAACAGCGTTTGTTCTTAGAGCATTGCTGGAAAGCCATAGAAGATGCAGCGATAAATCCCAAGTCTTTAAAAGGTAGTAAATGTGGTGTATATGCAGGGGTTGCGCCGAGTGATTACAGTATCCGCGGATGTGAAGAAGCTGCTGTGATGTGGGGTAATTCAAGTGCTGTACTGGCTGCCAGAATTTCTTATTTACTGGATTTAAAAGGGCCTGCCGTGTCTGTAGATACAGCTTGTTCCAGTTCTCTTTTAGCGATGGACATGGGTTGCAGCAGTTTACAAAAAGGTGAAACTGATCTGATCATTGCCGGAGGAGTCAATATTATGACTACACCTGGTTTTATCACTGGCCGACAGAGCAGGAATGATGTCTGCTGGCGGACAGTGTTATACTTTT